TTAAATCTATATTATTTTATATAGAGTTTTAATTTATTTAATTTAACATAGATTAATATTATACCCTCTATTATAATCCGATTAATTTAAATTATCATTGAAATCATGATCTAGAGAATGTTAGATCTAAAATTACTTCTAAATCATACCGAGAAATTTCCTTATCTATCGAAACGTAAAATATATCGTTATATAAAATCAATATATCGGAACGTAATGATTAAAAATAAATATTTTCTTAAAATTATACAATTAATTCACGATCTAATCAGATTGTCATTTAAATCCAAATAAAATTACAAGCAATTCAATCAGATTTAAAATTGCATCTTCGTGAAGAGTTCTCGAGGAACTTTTAACAAAAAGAAATATAAGAAAGAAAGAAAAAAAGAAAAAAGAAAAAGAAATAAAAAAACACACATACACACACACACAGACACAAAGAAAGAAAAAGAAAATAGAAAAGGAATGGATTAAACATTCGTTAACTTTTTGAAATCGCAGAAGGAAAAAAAAGAAAGAAAAAAAAAAGAAAAAGAAAAGAAGAAAGAAGAAAGAAAAACGAAAATATAAAAAGAAAAAGAATTGAAAAGAAATATTTTCAATGAATTTGTCAAACAACGTATTCGAAGTTAGAATTGATCCTACTTTCATTTATCCTACTATAATACTATTCTATTGATAAGTAAGAGCCTAGATAATTTCAACGATCTCTCCTAACGAGCTCATAGACAGATAGTCGAGGGGAATACGAACACGAAGACACGATACTACTGTACACACCGATCGATGTTGATTTATACTACTGAATTCACGCTGTAATCTCACCATAGAAATGCAAACGAGATCTACCGTGTTCGCGAAAGCTCGAAAATCAACATCGTAATGCGCTGGGAAGTCATCGTTAGTTCTAACGTTAGCTTGTAAAGATCTACCAAAGGATATTTCTCAATGAGTAACAACAATAACATCTTTAGAATAGGAGCAAAAGAAAAGAGAAAAAAAAAAAAAAAAAAACAGAAAGGAAAGGAAAAAGAAAAGAAAGATATTTTTAACTGGAACGATAATCGACAGGACGTTGTTTACTTCTTTTTATTTCTACGTCTATTTATTTATTTATTTATTTATTTATTTATTTATTTATTTATTTATTTATTCATTTATTTATTCATTTTTTTATTTATTTATTTATTCATTTATTTATTCAGTTATTTATTTATTTATTTGTTTTTTTGTTTCTTTTTTTTTTTTTTTTTTTAATCAAACTCTTACGAAATATAAAAATGAAAATGTGATAATAATTTATTTCGTTTTATTTATCTAATGTGTCTTAATATTTTTATATGTTATTCGAAAAAAAAAAAAAAAAGAAAAAAAAACAATTTTGTTTTCTTCTCTTTAATTTATTTATTTTTCCTTCATAATAAAATCTATCGTGAGATATAAATATATGATTGATAATTTGTTTATTTATTTATTTATCTTTTATTTTCATAATTTTAATATTTCATTTTATGTTATACTTACACATTGTTTATTATAATTTTATTATATTGTTTTAATATTATAATAATAATAATACAGAGAAAAATATCATTCTTATAAATATTATCATTATATAAAATTAAATTATAATTTTAATTCTTTTTCAATATAAAATATTATTTCAATTCACATTTATATAACTATTAATATCATTTAATTATATACATATACATACATATATATATATAATATTGTTATAATATATATATAATAATAGATCAATAAAACAATAAACAATTAATATATACATATTTACATAGTTTAATAAATAATTTCTTATTTTACAAATATATACACATGTCAATTATATTATATATATTATGTATTATATATTATAATTATATTATATATTAATTATATATATATATATAACTAAATAATAGATCAATAAAATAATAAACGATTAATATATACATATATACATAATTTAATAAATAATTTATTATCTTACAAGTATATATACATATCAATTATATTATATATATATATATATATATATATATATATATATATATATATACATAATATGTATATATAATTAAATAATAGATCAATGAAATAATAAACGATTAATATATACATATATACATAGTTAAAAAAATAATTTATTATCTTACAAATATATATTTATAAATATCAAAACATGTTTATCAGATTACGTACACTTAACTTATCTCATCTATCAAAATCTTACATTGAAATTTCAAAAGAGAGTCCATTAAAGAGATTCGATAAGTCATTCAACAAATAAATCATTCAAATAAAAATGACAAATTATAACAATCGAAAAATATATTAATATAACAAATTGTCTCATCTTTCCTTTTTCTTTCTTTTTTTAATTTTTTATTTTCTAGATGCCCCAAATTTTTCAGAAGCGATCGGTAACGTGACCGCAGCTATCGGCAAAGAGGCTATTCTATCCTGCACAATCCGGAAGTTGGGTAATTACAAG